AATTCAAGATTTAAAAAAAAATGTTCTGCTATTATCATAATTTTCTTAAATTTACGAGTACACAGAAGAATTCTGATGGTTAGTGGAATCGATTTATTCGTTTGGTTTTCTGTAAACAGTCAATTACAAAAAGGTACCCCATTTTTTAAAGTGACAAGACACTACTGGACACTATTGCGCACAACTGTTAATTAAAAATATGGATTTTTCATAAAAAGATGTTTTATGTCCAATGCATACTTCAAGGACTTGAACTTTGTAGGGGAGAGGTATGCACGTTAAGACGGGTTTTGTTTTTCATCAATAATTTTTCACAAACAAAATTTAGCGAATACTATATGCATTCCAAAAAGTATTGTCCAGGACTACAACATTGTCAAAGAAAGTAATATTTTTGGGCAAAAATAAAAATGTATAGCTGATTTTGTAAACATATTATTTTTTACAAAAAAAGAAAGTGGTCCGTACGGTGAGACACCCAGAGTAATTTATTTTAAATTGAGACAAAATGAATTATGACGTCAGATTCTAATTGCTTATTGTTTATTTATTCATTCTGATGATCTTAGCTTAAGGAAAAAAACGTATTAAAAATTATTATCTTAAAAAAGAGAAGAAAAAGATAAAATTTATTTTATTCTCCACAGAGAATTAATTGGAATCATTATCGTCGCAACTTTCACAGGTAAAGCAAATGTAGAACACTTAAAAATTGAGGATTGAAAGTGAAGCTTAATGATAATAATATTTTCACACCGTGCGCGTCTCAACTAGCGAACCACAGAGTGTCTCAACCTAAACTAAAACCTAAACTAAATCTGTTATGTAAATGTTATCTGCAGTTTTTTCTGACAATAAAAAATGCACTAAATAGGGTAAACGTACCAATTGTCGAGGATGGTTCCTGTTGTCGAGTAAACAAACTTTGAATTTTATTTAAACAGTGTAGAACATTGTAAATGAAAAAAAGTAATAAATATTAATTTTTTTATGCGTTATAAATGTGAAAAAAATATATTAATATTATATACACAAACAAATGAGACATTTTAGACAATATTTTTTGGTTATTACCATGGTAACATTGACAAATGGAACACCCTCGGCAATTGGTACACTTACCCTACACTAGACAGAAATCATGAAAAACACTTTTTCTAACTAAAAAATTGGTTCGCTCTAGCTCTACGAAAAAAGCAGTTATCGCGCTTCTATTGAATAAAAAGTTTAATATTAATGATTCGACAAAATGTCAATAAATTGTATGATATTATCAGATACTTAGGATATAATATCTAAGAGTGTCTCAACATGCGTACTTCTCGCCAACTTAGGTATACAGTTTATTTTATCCCCAAACCATGCGCATATTTTGAGGAATTCCATTTTGTAATGTTGTAGAGAAAAAGTTATTTTGTCTTCAAATTATGCTCTGTGTATATAATTATAGCATTAGAACTATGTTCAATGCATACTTTAAGTACTTAACATTTCTAGTCAGGCAACGAAAAAATAATGTATTTTTTGGTCCCCAAAATATGCGCTGTATATGGAAATATTGGTTCTCTAACTATGCTTTGTACAGAAGAAGAACATACTTGTCCAACATGCGGACCTTCTCAACGTGCGTATATCTCCCCTACTTTGGTATACATTTTTTTTATCCCAAACTATGCGCATATTTTGAGGAATTCCATTTTGTAATGTTGTAGAGAAAAAGTTATTTTGTCTTCAAATTATGCACTGTATATAATTATAGCATTAGAACTATGTTCAATGCATACTTTAAGAACTTAACATTTCTAGTCAGGCAACGAAAAAATAATGTATTTTTTGGTCCCCAAAATATGCGCTGTATATGGAAATATTGGTTCTCTAACTATGCTTTGTACATAAGAAGAACATACTTGTCCAACGCATACTTTGAGGTCTTGAAAGTCGTAACTTTTTTACTATGTCCAACGCTTATTTTGGGGTCAGTTCCCAAATTATGCCTTAAAACTCAGGTCCTCAAAGTATGCATTTTTCGGTTTTTTGGTTATCTATTGTTTATTTATGAATATTTATTGAAACTATTTTAAGGGAGCATTGTTGAACACCTGACAAACCTATAGACGCAGAAAAAAATGGGTGTCCCAAACTATGCGTTGTACATATATATATATATTTTGTCTGTTCGCATTTAGTTTGTCTGTTCGCCGTTAGAAGGGACATAGAGCCCCCCGCTGCGAGGGCTACTTGGAATTGAGTCCCGAGCAACCTTCATAGCGGGGGTCGCTCGGACCCTTAAACCCTCATTAAGGAAAACTGCTAATGACTTTTCTATTAATAATTAAAAATAAAAAATTTTTAAATAGTAACATTTTTAACTTTTAAATTAACATATTTAAATTCCTTAATTTTTCACGATTTTATACATATGTTGTTTACCAAAAAAATGTTAAAATTATATTTTATAGAAAAAGTCATTAACAGTTTTACTTAATGAGGGTTTAAGGGTCCGAGCGATCTCCGCTGTGAGGGTTGCTCGGAACTCAGTTTCAACTTGGTGTGCCGTATGGTGGGGGAAGGCTACTTCCCCTCACGGGACTAACTGGGACATCTCTCCTTGTATGTACACTGAAAGAATTTTTGGGGAGGCTGCTGACTTTTAATGTCCGAAATTAGTTCCCCTTTGCTCAGGGCTCGCAGCTCACCTCAAAAAAGCGAGCATCTACTCCCGAAAGGTGAGCTGCTGCCCCTGAGGAGTTACTGCTTACCTTTCGGGAGTAGATTCTCGCCTTTTTGAGGTTAACTGCGAGCTTAAGGCAGCGAGCTCTAGCGGCACAAAAAGCCTGCAGCCTCCCAAAAATTCTTTCAGTGTAGTGTAGAAAGATAACGATAGTGCTTCGTGAGTGATATATTTATTTTTTGAATATATCACATTACTATTTGATATAGTTTTTTTTATTTTGGATAACATTAGATATTTTCTGTTTTTTATATAATTTCTCTACAATTTGTAGAGAGTTAATCAAAGTGTTTCTTGAGTGGTATAGTTATATTTTTCTAAATATTATATTACCATTTGATATAGTTTTATTCATTTTGAATTTAAAGGATAGAGAAATTGACATTTACTTTTTTCCTGTTTTGAATAACATTTGATTTTTTTATTTAAAAGATAAGAAAAGAAATATTGGATAGAATTGAAATTTCGATTGATTGGATGTTGGATGGAATTTGAAGTATTTAAAATGGATTAAGGAGATATATTGGATGAAATTGGAATTTGACTATTTAACACCTTGAAAATAATTTTAATGCATTTTTATGAAACTTGGTACCCTAAGGTTTCTGGGATCACTAATTACTAATCTGACATCAGTTTTTCGAAATTCAAAATGGCGGATCCAAGATGGCGTTAATTTTTTCAAAATTCGTTGAATTTGCTTGAAACTTGTTACTCAGGGGTTTTAAGGGTCGCTGATTACGAATCTAACATTAGTTTTCCAAAATTCAAAATAGCGGATCCAATATGGCGGACAACGAAATGAAAAATTGATCAGATTGGCTCGAAACTGAATACTTGAGGATTTTCAGGGTCGCTGATTACGAATCTGAAATCAGGTTGAGTCGCGCAACATGAATCGAAAATGTGCTGCAACGCGCCCTCTTTTTTCTCAGTGCACTTACGAAAAAATCCTTAAATCGCACACTGGGTGTGCGACACCCGGGGACTTTTAAGTGTGTTCTTTAAGCTGGAATAGGATATTATCTTTTTGAAAAATTATCTTATATTGCTCAGTACATCTATTTTGAAGGAAAATAGGTTTCATAATGATTTATTTAATATTAATAATTAAAAAAGGGTTTTTTTAAATTACTGAAATCACCTTAAACCAAAAACTGGGTGTCAGACAAGCAGAAATTTTTCGCCGTCAACTTCATAAAGTTATCAAATACACAAAAACACTTGACAGACTAATATCAATCATGATACATGAAGTTAAGTACAAAATGTACTGTCCAATATCAACACATGTTCAATTTTTACGAATTTAAATGAGATATTAGAGTAAAAAGCTAGAATATGGGTGTCGCACACCCAGGGTGCGGTTTAAGGGTTAATGTTAATATTTCCAAGCATGTGAGTCTTTAGAAGCATTTGGGATAAATAATAATTAATTATTTTACCCAATTAATGGTATATTAGTCTCAAATAAAATAATGATTTATTATGAATATTTGATACAAACAAATCTGTAGTTCTTTGGAAAAATTATTTTTTTGATTCAAATAAATATTTGAATTAAAAGAACATGAATTACTGAATCAAGCAATTTTCATAATAATTGATTTGAAGCAATATTTATTAATTTGAATTATTCCATTTATTTGACCTAAGTAATGCAAATTTGGTAAAAATATCTAAGTAATAGATAATAGACAAATAAAATATTTAATTGAATCAAACAATGTTTTCCATTTTTATTATTAATATTGATAATAATAGTTTAATATACCGACAGATTAGCTCAGTCGGATAGATGCCTCGCTTGGCGGTCGTTTTAAGGACCAAGGGTAAGTACCCTTGGTTCGCGCCCTTTTGGCTTAGTATTTTTCCGGCACGTGAGACAATCTGAGCGGGAGGTTTGACGTCGAGGTATAATGATGTGCACCGTCGATTATTGTCCGGTACACACCATTAGAACTCGACTGTCGATAAACCGGTTGTACTCAGGAGAGGTTTTCTACAGTTTCCCTCTCCATTGGCGAGAAAACCCATTAGACGGGTGATCCAGGCGATTTGGGTACAAAAGATCCAAACCAAAAGATCCAAGACAAAAGGTCCAAACTGAAAGATCCAATATTTGTAAGATCCAATAGACAGAAAATCCAATAGACAGAAGGTCCAAGTTACTAAAAGTTCCAAACGTACAAAAGATCCAAAAAAAATAAATTCAAAAGAAGGATAAATTTATTGAATTGTTAAATATATAAAAATGTAAATGTATAACCTAAAAATGTAAGTGGTAACCCAATGTATTTAAATATTTAATTTCTTCATTTTGTTGCACGTATTGATCGTACTGTGATACGATATTAAAAATCCAGTTTTCTATTGTTGAAAAATAATTTGTCGGCAAAGCCCTTATTTTTTGACCCAACTGAAGTTGCCTTTGCATGCATTCTGTTTCGCCTTGTTCCTGTTGCAATTCGTTTAAAAAAGCGTATAGGCTCGGATGATATCGTCCAAGAAGAACTTGGAATCTATTATGCCATCCCTCAGACGCGTTATTTGTTCTCGCGATTCCTTGAAGAACGGCATCATATTGGTTCCACAGTTTTGGCTCGTATCTTACAGGCACAGCTTTTCTTCTACCTCTAGCAGTCTTGCCACGAATATAAGTAACCTAAGAAGAAACAATTTATAATTATAATACATGATTAAATACATTGTAATATATTAAAATAATTATTGAAATTGTAACCTCGAAGTATTCTGCAACAGGGACAAATTCCTCTGGTACTTGGTCGAAAAATATATCAAAAACCTTAGGCACATCCGTGGCAGGTACAAACGCAAGAGCGCACATTGTTCAGGAAGTTTTGCTACACTGAAAAACTGTTAGGAGAGCTGTTCGCCCAATGCGGTGAACTGCTGCGTTAAAAAGAAACGCACAGCTCACTTTATATTTGGGCGAGTTACTCTCCTTTTTGGGCGAGCAACTCTCCTTTTTGATAGAGCTGCTGACCTTTTTGTCAAGCAGCCGCTCGCCAACGCCATTGGTAGTCAAGTTTAGGAGAGCAACTCGCCTAATTTTGATAGAGCTGTGAGTTTAAAGTTAAGTAGCGCTGCACAACAGTCAATAGTGGAACTGCTCTACCAACAGTTTTTCAGTGTAATACAGCATCAGGTATGTTCTGCAGTTTTCTGGCAATTCTCGAGGGTGGACATTCTGGATGTTCGACGGCAAGTCTTTTTAGATCAATTTTCTCTTTGAGAGCTTCTACTTCTTCAGGATCTGGTGCATGACCGTGAGAGTCGGCATCTCCTCCAGAAAGAATTTCAACATTATCTCCTATACTAATTGTAGTTGCCCTAGCGCCGCATTGCTTTTTTTCTTTGCATCTCCAATATATTTTTGTCCCAACTCCAGAACTGTGCTTTGTGTATAAATATCCACTTACATGTAAATATCTCGTTTTGCCTTTTGTTAAAATTTCAATTTCCATTTTAAATATAATTACTCAATAATTTTGAAACACAACAAATTTTGAACTACGTTGACAAACCTAAACTGACGGAAACTGTTATGAAAAGACGGTTATTCGAACAACTTAACAACTTCAAGTGTAAATAAAAAAAATGAAGGTCTGAATTGAAAAATTGTTTCCTTTAGTATTTAAATTTAAATTTTTATTTTTGGATATTTAATTCCTTGGACTTTTTGTGTTTTGGATCTTCAAAGTCTTGGACTTTTCGGTTTGGACCTTTTGTTTTGGATCTTTTGTCCCTATACCATCCAGGCAAATGCGAGTACTCCTAATTTTTAAGTCGCTCTGTAGGCGCAAAAATTTAGTATTAAGTAAAATTTAAGAAATGTTTGTAACAAATGTTCTACGGTTGTAAAAACACTTGTATAGCCAAGATTGTAGGCTTAAGACGGGTGTATAAACCCCACGATGGTCAGGGTTTTAATTTAATTTTCTACAATTTGAACTGTATAAAATATTTTTTGAATTGTATGTTGAATAAAAGTAGGGGTGGATGGGGCAAGAATAGTTAGGTAAGACCTTTTCGGATCATGTTATAAAAAATCAGTAAATTTTCGTTTTCTCTATTTTATTGGATTTAGACTATTTAATATTGATATCTGAAAGTAATAACAATATGTTCTGAACATTTTCTAAATTTTAATATTGAATAAAAATTCGTCTGAACTAGAACCTGAAAGTTAACCAATTTTCTTCAGACGACCACCAATTTATTGGTCAATAAGCTTCATTTTTCCGTATATGTGACCTGGTCTATGAAAAGGGACCTTACGTGTCAAAAAATCATTTTTTACTTTTTTGTTGATTCGGATAGGGTTTGAAATGCTCTTTAAGATGGTGAAAACCAAAAAATCATAAGTTGATTAGAAGTTTTTAAAAAAATTTTAAAGTTAAAAAAAACAAGAGTAAAAATACGAAAAAACTGATTTTTTTTATTATACAAATTAAAATAACGAAGACGATAATCTTTTTATTATTTAGAAAAGTTGACAATTTCTTTGACAACTGTCAACAGTTAAAATTCAAATTTGTTATCATATTTGTAATCAGCGAAAAAAACCCTTACAAACATGTGTCACTTATTTATACTTATTGTTGCAAGTTAGAAAACTTAGATTATTTTTTCTATGTTTAGGGAGTTTGTTATTAATTTATATAAACAATTAGTAAAAAAAAATTTCATTACTTGTATGTTATTTATTTAGATACTGTGATTCACTGTGAAGAAAATAAGCCTAAATTGATTAAAAAATATTAATATTTAAAAAAGTTACAAGGGTTTTTCTAAGTTAAACTTTAACTGCTGTTTTCTCGAAAACTTGTTTTCGCACGTAAGGTCCCTTTTCACTGTCCAGGTCACATATAATTACGCACCATTGTGTATATCAACCTAAAAAGAACAATTAAACATTTTTTTATAATTTCCAGTCGCATTAGCAGGATTTTTCCGTGCCAAACTAGCTCTAACTATTCTTGACCCATGGGGGAGTACGGAACCCATATTTCAATTTTTCTTAAATTTTGTGAAACAACGTGAATTTAATTGAAAATAAATACGATATTCGTGTTCAGCAAGAATATATTAAAGCGTGATTAAGATTACGTTGACATTTTAGAAAAATAGGTGTTTTATAAAAATAAACTCCTAACTTCGCAAATGGTGGCAGATTGACTTCTAATTTTTACTATCATCTGTTGGGGGTCGTCCATAAGCCACGTAGCCCCATTTTTTGGGAATGATGACCCTCCCCCCGTAGTACGCTATTACATGTAGGGGAGAGTGGGGCAAGACGGGATACTTAAGGTTTAAAGCGCAAAAAAACGAAAATTATCGAATATATACTTTATTATTATTTTTAATTATCATTTTTGGAAATCAGTCTTTCGTAAAAAAGGCGTACAAAGGCTATCTGTTTCTTAAAAAAGCTTATAATTAATAATATTGAAAAAATTGCAAATCTCCCCATCTTGCCCCACCGGCGGGTAAGATGGGGTACTAACAAAAAACAACCTATTTCTGTCGACAAATTTTACAAATAAAAGTTGCATCTTCATCTTCATGCATAACTGCAGTGAGCCCATTGGCCGCAGACAAAAAAAGCAGGCCAGCCTTCATTTGAGTCTAAATAATAACCATTACAATAGAGACAAGGTGTATTTTCTACTTTACCATCGCTAATTGATGATTTAACCTGACAAGCTTTTTTCTTTTTGGTCACTCTTATTTTATTCAGTCTTGATTTTAGTAGTTTTCTTAACTTCTCTTATTTTTTTTTTTGCTTAATTTGTGAACCCCGTCTTGCCCCACTCTCCCCTACCCCATCTTGCCCGCACCTACGAAATTTAATAAAACGATTAATTACTGCAATTTACGATTCAACAAAGAAAAAAAAACATATGCTTCTCTTCTTCTGTAACCCTTGACAGTTAGAAAAAAATTTATACAGTTCATTAACTGTTATTATTAAATAATAAACGTCTCCTAAAAAAGTGAAAAAATGACAAAAAAATCGTCGAAAACAGTTTTTTTAGTAAAACAGATAAAAGATTTGTTCTCATGGCTTTTAGGTTTTATAAACAAGAAACTATCGTCTCGGTGCAGTATTGTGTAAAACATAATCGCGATTGGTTAAAAAAACGTTTGTTAAATAGGGCCGGTACCCCGTCTTACCCGCTACCCCGTCTTGCCCCACTCTCCCCTATTAGCGCCATTTTTTCCCTTTGTCGTAGTCAATTGCTTGACTCCCCTCCCCTTCAAGAGGTTACATGGTTTATGAATGGCCCCTTAGTGTTAAGACACGAAAATATCATGAATGTTTCAACGTTTAACATATTTCTTAGAATTGTTAAAATTTCGACATCCATTCTTACATTTGTGGAACGCTATCAGATTTAATTTTCTAAATATTATTAAAAAAAAGAATGAAATTAGTGTGAAAAATACTTAATTGAAGTATTATTGTTTCTGTTTGACGATAACTGTTACTATTTAGAAATATGATACAAACCTTTTTAAAAAAACGGTTTATGAGAAATAGTATTCAATATTATGATTTGTTTATTTTATGAAGTAGACAGAAAATTTTTCAATAATTGTTAAGTAATTACTATATAAGACTATGTAAAAATTATGCATAATTTGTTAATTTTTTTTTAAATGATATTGAATGCATTGGGTACTATTAATTAAAATTATTGCAAAATTTATTTATTTTCTTACATTATTTTTAAGATAATCAGGGTTCTTATGTTATGGCAGTTGCGCCCAGCAAGTATTCACGCGCGTTTACGCGCGTTTGTTTTAGCTAGTTATAATTATTCAAGGCTGATTAGTTATAATTCTCTATTCATGGATAATACATTTTACTATTGTTTAAGGGGATATTGAAGAGTTAAGGAGGTTATTTATAGGTATGCAGACCTTTAGAAAAAATATTGAATTGGCATTAAAGAATTTTTTAATATTATTTTTATTCGTATCTTCTGGAAGAACAAATATCAATTTTAAAAAAAAAATTGAAAGTAACAAAAATTGTTTATTAAGTCATTTTGTATATGATCAAAGTTTTCTTCATATTAAAAGGTTAAACTTTCTTAAAATTGATTTGATTTCAGAAAATGATTCTCTATAAATTGACTGCTCAGATTTATAATCAAATACACTGTTTTGAAAATATACTTATTTGTTTAAAAATTTTTTTTAATTAAATCACTTGTTGTAAACAAATAAGTATATTTTCAAAACAGTGTATTTGATTATAAATCTGAGCAGTCAATTTATAGAATCATTTTCTGTATATTAATACATATATATAATAAGAATAATATCGTGAGGCTATTGTCTCTCAATGAAAAAAAGGAAAAAAATGTCATTCCTAAGACAATGAATACATTTTCAAACTATTCTAGAGAAAAGAAACGTTTGCTTTCATTTTGCAATTTATTTTTAGAACAAAATCGTTTTGTTTAGTATAAACATGATTATGGTTAACTACATACTTTTTGCAATTTTTCTATAGAACGGCATTTTTTTGCTTTCTTTCTCACTGAGAGTCAAAAGTCTCAAGATACAAGAATAGTTTCTTGTAAATTATTATATAAATTATTATTGTACTTGTAAACTTCAGAACTTGTGTAAGTATTTATTACAATTAGTATTTTAAATGCATTCTTAATCATTTAACGTCTTAAATTCAATAATAATAATATACTTTTTGTGATGTAAAATGAAAAATTATATAAAATAGTATTTATAATAATAATTTGGGGACAGGACTATGTAAGTTGAAATATAATTTATTATACAAATTTTCCATTA